TGTATATTGTTTATTCCATAGATGGAGAATTAAAAAATGAACATTTTTTGTATTTAGAGTATTCCAAAATTTTTAACGGTTTCGCAGATATTCATCGCGGTTTCATATTTCATATGGCATTTTCCACAGTAAATTTTTATCAAAGCCGTTGAAAGAGCCATACGAAATAATACTGTGTGTATCTGCGAAACCATTAAAAATTTTGAAATACTTGTTAAAAATGTAACTTCTACATCCTGTATCTCCGAAAATAAGCATTTTAGGACTTAGATTTATACGAACTTCTTTACTTATTTTTAACTGCAGAATATGCTGCCGAAGTTTCCGGAATACAGTTCGGACCACCCTGTATACCATATCGGCAAAACACAACCTTGGGTCCGTATTTGCACTCTGGGCACAAATTACCTATAACAGATGCGAAAGAAAGCGACTGCATCGGAAACCGCTCGGCAAACCCGACACGCCTATTGAGTGGTGTAAATACACCAGTCGTTTAGTCCGGAAACCTATGCTGTGTCGTATTCGCTTGCTGGAATGACATAGTGCGTGGTTATATGTTTCTTTTTAAAAACGCGTGTAGAATTTTTGTTGAACTTTTTGAACTGTTATTTCTAAGTTTTGGTAATTTGTATATCTTATTTAAAATGGGATGCAAATGTGTTTATTTATAAGGAAAAAAAAGATATTTATAGTATAAAAAATTAATTTATTTAACAAAATTTAATTAAAAATGTTACAAAATAGTTACCTTTCTATTGGTTCTATCGGACTTTTTTCGACTATATAAATCTTTATTTGTAAACTTTAATACATCAAATATTTTCAATCTAATTAATCATTTAATGATGTAAATAAGAGGAAATTTCTCACATGGGTGGTCAAATTTTATAGTTTTCATTATATCAAACAGCCTCTGAGAAATGTTTTCAACTCAAAATGCCTTTAATTATGTTTGACTACATCATTAAAAAGGGTGTTCAAATACATCAATGTGATATTTGTCTAAAATTTGCAAAAAAATCCGAATCTCTGGATAACTCGAAATTATTTACCCATTTAAAAGCCTTTGATCATGAAAGTGGAAAAATTTGTTCATTTTATTTACAGGCTGGAAAAATTATTTAAATTAAATTTTGATGAGTTTTGCACTGAAGAAAACGTTCAGAGGCTGTTTGATATAATGAAAACTATAGAATTTGACCACCCATGTGAGAAATTTCCTCTTATTTACATCATTAAATTATTTATTAGACTGAAAATATTTTATGCATTAAAGTTTACAAAAAATAAAGATTTATATAGTCGAAAAAAGTCCGATAGAACCAATAGAAATGTAACTATTTTGTCACATCTTTAATTAAATTTTGTTAAATAAATTAATTTTTTATACTATATTTTTTTTTCCTAATCTCCTACGAGCTGATATAATATGACGAGCAATCTATTAAATTACTGTGAGATTATACAGAAAAGTCCACAGACTTCGAGACATAGGAAAATCAAGTCCATTTAGCGTGTGTCCAAATTTTGACAAGTTTTCAAAAATGACAGTTTTGTTTCATGATACAAAGAATACAAGGTATGATATTGCGCAGGTTGGTTACTACGTCACAGGTGATAAACGGCACCATTGGTCGGCAAGCTCCGCGCGCCAATTTCAAATTGTCAAACAGATGACACAATAAACGCGAAAATAATTTTTCAAATGTCAAGCTCGATAATTTGACATAACTTTTGGGGTTATGTCCTGATTCTTCCCTATTTTAGGTCTTTTTTTTTATTAGTGGCAATTGAACAATATGGATATTTTTCTGTATGGCGTATGACGTCACAGGTGGTATGCGCAAACTTAACGAAATTGGAGCCGCTATCGATCATACCTTGTTTTCTTTGTACCATGGTTTTGTTTAGACTGACGTTTAATTTCACCTGACTTCTCGGTGAATGATTTCTTTTTATGGGGGTACATAAAATCTAAAATTTACGGCCATGAAGAAATTCAAAACTTGGAGCAGTTAAGGCAGAAAATATTTAATGCCTTTGACACTGTCACCCCTGATATGTTACCCAATGTGAGGAGGGGATTTTATGATCGTTTGGTTTAATGCAAGAGGCACTTTTGAACAATTTTTGTAATTGTTTAAATTTCATTATCCTGTTTTTTTACCGTTTACCCATTACCTACCTTGACGAACATGGGAAAACGAAGGTCCTTTTCAGGACCACAAATATTTTGATTGAGAAAATTGGTAACTTTTTTTTGGATTAAAAAAAAAAAAGTTGTTAATATAATACCAATTTAAAAGTGTTTTAGTAGTTTTAATACACACTATGATATAAAATTTATTATTATTATAATGTACATTATTAATACTATTGTTCATTCGAAATGGCATTAAGGCCCAATTGCAACAATGATTTAAATTTTTCTTAAAGATAAGTAGAGCTTAGAATGGGCTGTATTTATATTTACTTTAATATTCACCTTAAATGAGGGAATTTGACTGATACAATTTTTGAATTTGAATTGTTTTTAATGATATTAACAATTTTAGTTCAATTTTTAATAAAATTTATTTAATATTAATAGAAATCCAAGGGATTTGAAACCTCTTTTAGCGATTTATAACATTCTCAAATGAATTACAGGTGCCCTTATTTTGAATGAAAATCACACAGCTTTTTTCATAGTCGCTGCAGTTGCTATAGCTATAAAAAACTAATTTTTTAAGGTGTGAAAATTGCGACACACGCTAAATGGACTTGATTTTTCGTATGTCTCGAAGTCTGTGGACCTTTTTGTATGCCTGGATAACATATTGGTGCAGATTATTTTCACCCAAACAAATAATAACCCAAACTATACATTGATGCGGATTGTCTATGAACTCTTTCTGAAGGTCACAGAAACCTGAACGCGTAATTCGGTGTTCTTTCGCATCTGTTATAGGTAATGGTGGGTTCATACAGCCAAATAAAATAAAATAAGAATAAAATAAAATAAGAAATAAGGAATTCTTATTTGTGTGCGTTCATACAGTCAAATAAAATAAAATAAGAAATATATATTTGCTCATGCGCAGTACGATGAGGCTGGATAAAAGTTAACTTTTACGATTGTTTATAGTAATTTTACTATTTATAGTATATTTATTTATTCGTTGCCTACTATATTATACATTTTACTTATGTGAAATTATAAAATAAATTAAATCCAAACTGAAAATATTTGTAGGTTAGAATTAAGCGTGCGCAAAGCCGTTTTCACATAAAATAAAACAAGAAGTTAAAAGATAAAGACTTCTTATTTTATTTGTTATTTTATTTGGCTGTATGAACGCATGTACGGTATCCCATATAACCAACTTTCTTATTTTATTTTATTTTATTCTTATTTTATTTTATTTGGCTGTATGAACCCACCATAATTTGTGCTCTGGGAGTGAATCGCTATGGCGATCTTTGTGTTTATTACATACGAGGGCTGTCTTTTATACAGGGTCGCTGATATGTATGGGAACGGACAATTATTATTTAAAATATTGGAGATACCGCAAAAAGTTAAATATCTATCAGCGAGTAATAAATTTAAGTACACAGGGTCGGTCATAAAGTCGTGGCATATCAAAGTTTCATTTTTTTTAAATGGAACCCCTATATATTATTGCATATTTCGGTTCTTCCTTCAATTTTAAGCAAAAATCGAGATACTATGTACCGGGTGTCCCACTAAGAATAGCTCTCGGCTGCATCTCGGAAAGTATTAGCCGTAGGGCTTACGGAAAAAAAAATATTTATAACTAAAGAGGCTATGACAAATTGCTGGAAATTATTTTCAAGTTTGTAAAACGGCAGCTAGGTGGCGCAACTGCTATGGAAAATAAGAAAATAGATTTTTTACAGAATTTTGCCTAGATAATTGGTACTATAAATAATAGCTTCATAATTTCCAGTAAATTTTGGATTTTTTTTCTGCTAAAATAAAGAGGTGGAGGAAGGTTAGATCTATCTTTATTTAAATGTAAAATGGCGCTTTTCCATTTTTTTAACTCTCCATCTAATAAAAAAGTAATATTCAGGGTGTTCCATTAAAAGAAAAATTATTTAATATTGTAGAAAGTTTGACGTAGAATTTTGAGTACCCTGTATGATTTAAGATTACGATATTTATAGCAAAGTAAGTATAGACCATCTAAAGTAGATACCTAATATAGTTTTAATTTTAGGACAGTTCTTGTACTTGTAATAATTTTTTAAGGTAGATTTAAAAATATATATTTTTTATTTATTTATTAATATCTCTGAATTTATCGAAATATATTTACTCCTATCTTAGGATTGAAAAATGCAATAATATACAAGGCGCTGCATTTAAAAAAAATCATCCCGATCCACTCACAATTTTTTGAGCCACCCTATAAAAGTTAAAATATTTTCCTGAAATACATCCTCGTACATATTTTAGGTTTTCTTACTTAAAATGCTCAGTTTTTTATTCTAGAAGCTACAGATGCACGACGCACTATTGCCTGGACCCTATATATAAAAAAATATAAAAAATTTTAAAATATAAAAAAATCCGTAATATATAAAAAACAAAAATTTATCAATGTTAATAAATTTAGAAAATTTTTGACATACATTGTTTCTGTTACGTGCGATTTTTTTATCACACCCTTTAAGTAACTCTCTTTTGCCACTAAATCCAGGATTAAGTGTATTATTGGTTGCAGATTTTGTAATCAGCCTATAACTGATGATACAAAAGTTCCTGAATTTTTCTTATTGTAATAAATAATCGCTCTGTGTTTTGTACATTTGCTAATAATCACAATCGTTTAATATGAGCATAGTTAATAGAATTTAACAAATCCGCCTTTTAAAACAAGGAACTATTCGTAGTTTATGGGACTAAAAAATGAAAATGGCTTAGCATCCATTTAAAGCTCTATAAGATCTTTCATTTCTCCTCCAATCACCTTTCTCTAACAACCTACCTGTCACTGAAGGCCTAAGAGGTTCCTGCACTGCCGAAGACTCTTCTATTACTCTGCGCCTTCTGCCAGCACATCTGATGCCCAGCATCCCAAAGGAGGCAATCGTTGGGTTAATCCCGGCCAGCAGGAACGGCAACGTAAAGCTTCTTTGGCTGTCATACAACAGGCCTGCCACGTAAGGCCCGATGGTGAGGGGAACTGAACAAACTCCCAGAAGAAAACCTATGGCTTGGGTTCCACCGTCCCTACCACAGAGTTCGAACGCTATTGGTCCTAGCAAGCTTACGAAACATCCGTCGGTGATTCCCATGCCCAAGCATAAGATTAGTAACAGTGGGAAGTTTCCTTTGGATAGAGGAAGAAGCATTGTTAAAACTCCTAGAGCCAGAAATGCTATTTGCTGCAGCGTGATTTTGTTTACGTTGGTGCGATCCACTATATATCCAAACACTAGTCTACTGACCCCTGACATTACTCCTATACACAGAACAGGAAGGTTCCTGTCAACCCCATCCGGGAACTCGTTTTTCACAAAGGCTATTACATAAACGTATGGGATAAAATACCCGAAAAGGCATAATCCTATCACAGCTATCCATATAATGTACTTAGTGTTAGTCAGCACGGAAACATTAAACAAGTCTCTTAATTGCACCTTCTTTAAAGAAGGCGTTATTTTAACGGGTTTAAACAGCACTGCGGCCGCCATAATGAAACCCGCTATTAAAGCCAAGGCTCTTAGTGTCCATACCAGTCCATACTTCTGTAACAACCCGTCCAGGATGTATGGCATGACTATGGTGAACACTGAGCTTCCTGCCGATGCCACTCCATTCACGATACCGAGGTATCGTTTGAAATAGTGTCCTAGGACGGCGAGAGATGGCGTGTAGGCCAAGGAACCGCCCAGGCCGTACATGATGCCGTAGGTGAAGCAGAAGGCAGTGATGTTGTGGGTGCAGAAGGACGAGAGGAACATGCCCGCGGATGCTATGAGGCCTCCGATGAAGGTGGTTTTGCGGATGCCCACGCAGTCGGTGAGGATGCCGGATAAAGGTGACATGAAGAAGGTCATGCCCATGGCCAGTGAGCCGGATAGAGCTGGAAAAAATATACGGGATTAGTAAAAGTTATTTGCTATAGCCGATATCAATTAATATCTGTTTTACACTCTGATTCTGATGAAAAAAAAAACGCTACGCAGAAAATTTTGGTCAAATTTAAAGTGATATATTTTTGTTATTTTTAACCCTATTTTCATGATTTTTTTTAGCAAACTGTATACAGGGTTGTTCACCACATACGACACGGAATATTGTAGCTAAACGATTAGATTTTTACAAATTGTAAGTTTTGGGTTCGTTGAAGGACTATTAGAGCTACAATTTAAAAATATTTTTACAAGACACAGAGTGTCCCAAATAAATAAAAAATATCAAAGTTGTATTTTTTTAAATGGAACATCCTGTATAGAGACAATTTGCGAGAGAGCCACAAATAAAGTTTGTGTACCATCTCGTATATGGTACCAAAAACTGGAGTAGTATCTGTAAAATAGCAGCACACGATAGGTAAATAATAAATTTTAGTACTGCAGAGAGATAATGTCAAAAGGTACTAGTTTACAAAAATTAAAATTAAAGTTAATTAACCAACTTTTAAGGTATAAAATTGTGTGTTATTATTAATAAAATATTTTGTTTTATTTATGTTGTGTTTTATTTATTCCTTTGCAATATATATTATTTTATTTTTACATAAGTTATAATGATAAATGTAACAATAAATGCAGGAAGTTGCTAATACTATTATAAGTCTTTTATCTATGAAGTTGCTTGAGCTTGAAACACGGCTTGATAGCAGGAAATATTTTATATATCTTTTTTTGGTATGTGGTGTTTTTTTCAAAATACACCCTTGCTGGTTTTGTATTAATACATACTGTAATTGTTTTTAATAAAATAACTCGATTAGATTTTTCAATTTTATACGGTTTTCACAATATTTTGAAGTAATCACTTGTCACTCAAATTTTAAATATATTAATTTTCTGCTATGCGTTCCAATTGTACCAACTTATTTCTTTGTTATATAAAATAAACTACTTTGAAAATAAAATGACAGATACATCCATCACACTCAAGGATCTTGTCGTTGGACAGACTATACCAGTTAAAATATCTGCACTTATTTCTGGGACACCCTGTATAGCTACGGATTCCGGGGGTCCTTATATTTAAGTTAAGTTGTAGCATGTTATCATTTTAGTTTGACCCACTTTTAAAAGCTTATAACTTTTTTGTTTGTCGGGTTAAAGCAGTCATTCAAAAAACATGTTGTAGCAGTTTCAGCCAAGTTTTTGCGAGTGTTGTCAAAAATGACAGTAGGTGTCACATGTCAGATTTTTGAAACTAAAAAAAAACTTTTTAAATGGGACACCCTGTATAGGGTGAGTCAACGATAGAGTAAAGTCAATTATCTCATTTGTTTCGAGGTTTACAAAAAAACGTTTAATATAAAAGTTATAGGGAAGGTTAAAATACACATTTTAAAATTATTGTAGAGTATACAGGGTGCTTCAAAAAAGTGTGGCGGATATAACATATATTTTTTTAAATGCAACACCCTATTTTTTATTTTATTTTTAGATTCTGCGTAAAATTCCATAACTTTTTTATATATAATGTTATATACCTAAAATTAATAGTTTTTGTAATATTTAAATTTGTTTAAACAAATGGTAAATTGCAGTGTGATAAAAAATTGTCAGTGGTACCATTGTTTCTGAAGTTGCAATACCAAAATTTGGTATGAGAGTTTTATAAAGATGAAAAAAAGGATATATGTAAAGATATTTTAGTTAAATGCTACAGGGTGTTCAAAATATATTTATGAATTTCAACTACTTAAAATTAAAAAATCTCAAATTTTTCAAATGGTACACCCTATATATTTTCATTTTTTTCTGATAGATTTTGCAAAGCTCTTTTAGCTCAACTTTTATTAAGTATGTCATATACCTATTTTTAATAGTTTGCGATTTATTCCAATTTTTTCTATTTTTACACTAATTTTTAATACAATTACGCTATAACATCATAGTTGCCGTGACAAAACGAAAGTATTTACTACTTATCTTTAACAAGTAGTTTAATAATTAATTGCAATAATTGCTATTATTAGTTAAAATTAATTAAATTTACTCAAATCAACTAAAATCGTAATGGTGAATTTCTTGGTGTATTTCTATATTATGAAAGATAACACTTGGCTTTTCCGTCGGGGCTAACAGTCACAGATTAGGGTAATACTAACTAGATTATCTAATTGTTGACGACTACCGATATAGGAATTTTTTTCGACATACAGTCATACAGTAAAGTTTTTTTCTCGTAGTAATTCTGGTTTATAATTCATTTCATAAAACCAATATTACAGCTGCGGAACCGTCCCATTACACACTGAAAATAATATAATATAATATGAAAATGTTTTCTAGATAATCTACATCTATTCTTATAGTACTTAGCAAAGTACTATGTAATATATAGTACTGAGCCAAAAAAATATGTTTTTCTTGGCTTGTTCTTGTATATCAGTCACATTGACTAATTCATTTTCAGGAAAATCTGTAAAACTATTATCTTTACCTCTACCATTTATACTTATTACAACACAGTAAACTAAAATTCACGTTTTGTTCTTAACTTGCTTAACAGACATATGAAATTTTGATCATTATTATTTTTTGTCATGGCAATAGCGTACCTAATTGAATTAAAGATATGGTAAAAATAGAAAAAATTGGAATAAATCGCAAACTATTAAAAATAGGTATATGACATATTTAATAAAAGTTGAAGAGCTTTGCAAAATCTATCAGAAAAAATGAAAATATATAGGGTGTACCATTTAAAAAATCTGAGATTTTTTAATTTTAAGTAGTTGAAATTTATAAGTATATTTTGAACACCCTGTAGCATTTAACTAAAATATCTTTACATATATCTTTTTTTTCATCTTTATAAAACTCTCATACCAAATTTTGGTATTCCAACTTGGTTTAAACAAATTTAAATATTACAAAAACTATTAATTTTAAGTATATAACATTATATATAAAAAAGTTATGAAATTTTAGACAGAATCTAAAAATAAAATAAAAAATAGGCTGTTGCATTTAAAAAAACATATGTTATATCCACCACACTTTTTTGAAGCACCGTGTATACTCTATAATAATTTTAATATGTGTATCCTAACCTTCCCTATAACTTTTATATTTAACATTTTTTTGTAAACCTCGAAACAAATGAGATAATTGACTTTACTCTATCGTTGACTCACCCTGTACAGGGTGTCCCATTTAAAAAGTTTTTTTTTAGTTTCAAAAATCTGACATGTGACACCTACTCTCATTTTTGACAACACTCGCAAAAACTTGGCTGAAACTGCTACAACATGCTTTTTGAATGAATGCTTTAACCCAACAAACAAAAAAGTTATAAGCTTTTGAAAGTGGGTTTAACTAAAATGATAACTCGGTACATGATTGTGTACATTACTCAAAGAGAATTTTTAATAATTTTATTTAGAAAAATTCATAACTGAACATTTATTGGCGCTTGGGGTTGTTCAAATCGAAAGTGTAATTATCTAGTCACAGCATTTAATTGTTTTAATAAGTAGTAAAGATCATTCAAAAGATAAAATTGTCGAAAAAAATCGATAAATATAGGTACTTAAAGAATGTTCTTATGTTAAACAATAATTTAAATCCAAAAAATCATCACGTTGACATTCAAGGAATATTAACAAGTTACATTATTTCAACAGAAATTTACTATTAGCTGGCTGATGTAATGTTAAATCACTTTTCAGTATATTATATTAATAGACGTATATAAATAATGCAACGAATAATAAAAATATAAAATGATTTTTACGCTCATTTCATATCAGAGATTAGTGAATAGCTTCCATTTTTAATCGGGAGTAATCTATTTATCCACTAATAAATTAAATTAGGTATTAATTAAAGTCATTTATTATAGACAAACATAAAAGAGGCTAAGGAAAGGATTTTTAAAAACTATCTAATGAGGAATAACATTGTATAAGATTGCACAAGATACACTCATTAGTAAATTACTAAATACAAAAATAATAAAAAAGCTGGTGATAATTAAATTTAGATAAATCAGTGTCAGTGAACCCAAAAGAATAAAAATTAAATTTAAACTTAAACCTTTTGATGTTATGCGACAAAATTAAAACTTATATTATATAGGTACCCAAAATACATCATAAAACTTTTGAATCTGAAAACAGTTATAAAAACTAGTTGATCTGCTAACCATGCATCATCAACAAATGAAAATTTTTTTGTTTGGTACATTGAACGATACTCTTGCCAACAATTTGTTTCTATCTATACTAATATATAAAATCCTTAAGTGACTGACATACTGATTAATCACGATCCTGCTCAAACCACTCAACGTAAGAAGCTCAATTTTGGCATACAGGTTGATTCTAGGGTGTAGAGGTTCGATAACTAGGGATTTTTCGAAATTCCAGTTCCAAGAGGGTGAAACCACCCCTCAAATATTACAATATTTTTTATTTAAAAAACGGTCAAGTTTCCGAAAAAACGCATAAACACGTATATTTTATTACATATTTTAAGATTTTTTCAAAATGCATACAGGGTGTTTCGAAAAATCTGGTTATTGATTAATCACGATCCTGCTTAAAGCGCTTGACGTAAAAAGCTGATTTTTGGAAAACAGATTGACTTTAGGGTGTAGAGGTTCGATAAGAAGAGATTTTTCGAAACTCCAATTCTAAGGGGGTGAAACTATCCCTCAAATATTAAAATATTTTTTATTTAAAAACCGGTGAGTTTTCCGGAAAAACTCTTTAACACGTATATTTTATTTTGTTGTTTTACATATTTTAAGATTTTTTATAAATTTATACAGGGTGTTTCATAAAATATGACCGTTGAGTAATCAGGATTCTGCTTAAATTGCTTGACGTTTAAAGCTGATTTTTGGCAAACGGATTGACTGTGGGGTGTGTATTGTAGTTATTTCACA